ATATGGTGAGTGTGGTAAGACATCCCACCTAAGCTTTAGCAACTTTTGACGAGTGGCCAAAAATACGTGTGGTCTGGAGGTATCCTGTTAGAAGATTACGCCCTCACGATTGCCACTTCGGGTCGCTTTTGGTCTATCGCTGCCTCCATATTTTCTAGCTAACTATAGTAACCTTCCGAAGTCTGCGTTTGATTATGCTACAACAGCTCATGGTAAGTGATTTCCCTGGAATCCCTCAGCAACTCGGCATAGTATTCCGCACCTAGATTTTGACTTTTGCAGCGGTTTGTGATGGCTCACTAGGGGAGCTCCACGATCGCTTACGCTTCTCATTGCTGTACACAATCCAATTTTCGTCCTTCGTGCTCATGCGTTCCAGAAACGGCTCATTTTTATTTTGTTTGAGCAACGATTCGCACGTGGAGGCGCTGTCCATCGCATTGCGCTCGCTCATTTCGCAAGATATCTAAACATCAAGGCGTTTTACAAAACCAAGTGTCTGCAGATGACCATGAATGATTAATTTCGAAACACTAAGCCCTTGTCCTACTCCACGAGTAGTTATGTGCTGATTCGCTTTGGTTCACATTTTGATTTGGTCGTTTTAACTGATGATAGACTTCCTGAAGGTTGCCGGTCTNTGCGCTCGCTCATTTCGCGAGATATCTAAACATCAAGGCGTTTTACAAAACCAAGTGTCTGCAGATGACCATGAATGATTAATTTCGAAACACTAAGCCCTTGTCCTACTCCACGAGTAGTTATGTGCTGATTCGCTTAGGTTCACATTTTGATTTGGTCGTTTTAACTGATGATAGACTTGCTGAAGGTTGCCGGTCTTCGAGGGTAAATTCACTCTGATAGGATTTCGCAAACTAGTCATGCACTGTACGTTCCTCTAGAGCATGGTCTAGTCAAAAGTCATATATCTTTCATGCGGCTTGAGCCGCATTCTAGGCCTTGCGGTAGAAGAAATCCTTCAGATGCCGAAAATGCACGCAATGGTTCTCCATTTTCATACGAGTCCTGTACAGAGAAACTCCGACAAATGTTGACAGAATTCCAACAGAAATATAGAGGAGGACCTACTCTTTCAGAAAACACATAACTTTATGAGGTTGGGTCCTTCATCTTTTGTACAACAGTTGATAAGTCCGAGGCGTCGAAAATCGGCGGGAACTTTTCGGACAACCCAATATTAACTGCCCGTCACCACCCGAGCCCGATAGGGGACAGTTCGGTTACACTTCGTTCGATGCATGATAATAGGGGTTCTCCAGCTCAGCGCGTGAATGCCCAATTCATTGCTCATGATCCTACTTACTATAAAGCGCTTCGTCTGTCTGTCTGTCTGTCTGTCGTTCTGTCTGTATGTCTGTCACGAAATTCCTTAACTCCTTCAGATCTGCCTGGAAAGACCGGATCAAGCGTGGGATGGGTGGGTCATGTCCTCAGAAGTATAAAGCACGCATCAGCTCGGCGAAGCCCCGCCCACAGAGGGCGTGGCGTGCATCTAAATGAGCAGTACGGAGGACCATGATTTCACATTCAGTCACAAAACGGCTTCAAAACTGGGGTTCAAAAGTGGCTAGAGGTGTGCATTGGTAAGTTAGATTGAATTGGGGAGAGCCACCCCCGATGGGCGGGGCGTTCTGCAAAAGTGCAATGCTTATGAAAACATTTTGGAGAATCATAACTCCTGTTTCCGTGGACCTAGAAAGTTCAAACTTGGTAGGAGCACAGGCGACAGGATGGGAACCTTTTATGGTGAGTGGCAGGACCAGACTCCGCCCACAAGAGGCTGGATTTGAGCGGAAACTCATAAATCCGATAATGGTCTATAATGAAAATCAGCTCATGTGGCTCCATCCCTCATGGCTAAAGCCCCAAGCGCACGAGATAGCGTGCGTGGCCGCCTGGTATTCCTTCTTCTTCCTCTTCTGATTCCTCTTTGATCGCCGCCCAGCAGCGTATTGATGACCTTTCTCTTACGGTAGACAAAACTCAGACCTAGCCCGATCAACCTAAGTCTAGAACAGCTGCCTTAATTAAACGAAATGAGGATCGCGAACTCAGCTTCAGGTACTAGGTCTTCATCGTCTTCCACCCGCCTTTCTTCGCCTGACTTCGTAGCCTTTTCATTTGTTGTATCGCTCTTTCTTGCATTCGCTGAGGAGGTTCATTCGCCTCAGCGGATGCCTGGCTGTGCCCAATGGGGAACCCTGCAAATTTATTTTTCGTACCGAATGCTAATAATTGTTCATCGTTATTTCCGAATACTACTGTTCATCCTCGTTCTCTTACTGTGCGTCTGTTCCGTCCTAACACTAAGCGTTACTCTACTCCTGCTTTCCTCTGTAAGGTCATCCGCCATCCTGTTACATTGTTTACACGGTGCCAACCCTGAGAATCACAGATAGGCTGCTTTTCATCAGATACCTGGGATTTTGCAGTCGACATGAGAGTTGCAGCTAAAAGATGTCTTTTCTAGCTTTCACCGAGCTCATCGAAGAATACCCTTCCATTACGAAATATCCTTACTTATAACGCTGCTTATTTATGTAACTGCAATAACGAATTCCGGTATTTACTAAAGGGCCCAAAAGTCGAATTTCGGATGAGTGGGGCTTACTCTAAACATGTGGCAAAAGTACTGAAGATTGTTTATCATGATTCCTGAACGGCAAGAAATTAATACAAGGGGGCAGTGATACAAAACTGAGTGGATTAACCCATTGGCGACCGCGCCCTTTACATTGTCCTTACATTAACTTTTAATTTCTCTTATATCTGTAGTTGGAAGTGAATGATTCCTGGACCACGATGCCTCAAGATTCTCTAGAAGGTTGTGAGCTCAGCTGATACCTGAAAACATGAAAAAAATTATAAGAACACTTGATAAATAATATAAATACTACAGGAGCACGATAAGGGTGGCCCGCCGGCGGGCCACGCAGTCGTCAATGGGTTAAAGGGTAATGCACTTTCTCGCACCTTAACTCCACGACAATTTGCCTGTTCACGATGCCTTCAAGATTACATCGAGGCCGCATGACGTTTTGTAGCTTGAATCGCTGGGTATTACTGCTGAAGTGGTTTTACGGGGGATTCGGATCGGTATTTGGCGAATACCAGGGCTCGTATTGATATACATTCAGGTGATATAAACCTTCTGCTACGAGTTCGCTAAAGGTCTGCTGCTGAAGCACCTCAAAATATCAATGCGGTCTGCGGTTGAGAGAAGCACCACTGCATCCATAGTAAGGCGTAGACTCAGAAATTTCCTTGTCAGGATGTAAGCCTCAAAAGTACGGTCAAGGCGGCTTTTCTGAAGATGACGACCACCCGCAGCTGAACGCAATCACTGAAGGTGATCCGCATCTCAAAAACTGGAGTAGATAACCCAACAGTCACCCACTGCTAGAAAGAGGAGAAAGGGGAGGGAATCTGAAATGTGAAAAGATGTGGAACTGAGTATAACATTACCTAAGGCAAGCCTCAAAGAAACCAACAATATGGATTCTGCTCAACGCACAATCTGGTCCTCGATTGTATTGTTGCGCGCTACCACAAAAGGATGTTTTACGTCAACACGTCAACAGGAAGCGTCCTGTTCAGTGGATGGAAGAGAGTGACGTTTCCAGTTACTTCACGAATTGAAAATATGCTCCAAGAAACAATTGTGATTGTATTGCGGATAGCTACAGATAGATACGCTACACCTTCATGAAACCTGCCGAGCTCATCATCGCAGAGGAGTACAGCAAGGAACTGGGTGAAATGCACCAGAAGCTTCAAATTCATCTAATTTAGCTACTAAAAGGTCCAGATCCTCCAATACGTCAATGCCAGACCACACATTCCAAAGGTTTCGTTACTCAAAGTGAGCTATTTGGGCAACGAGACTCTGCCTTACCCACCATGTTCATCAAAACATTTGTCGACAGAATAGCACTTTTCAAACACTAAACAACAGTCTACGAAATACGATCTTCTCAAACATAGACGATGCTGAGGGAACTTCCGAAAACTTGGGAGCCCCAGTGGGAGAAAGCAAACTTGTGTCTTGTTCATATAGGATTATATAAGTTATAGCCCTTCAAAGTGAATGCTTGAAAAATGCATTATTTCTGCACCAGCGTGATGGCAGACCAGGGCACCTTTTCTTTTGTAACCTATCTCCATTCATCAGTTGAAAACAGCACAAGAGCGCAAGGTGAAAAGGGTTGTGGCAAGCATACTTCCTGGAAACCTGGTGTAGCAATGCAGCAGCAGCAAGCCTAATTGGCCATGAATGACCAAACAGTGCGGGTGGGAAGAAAATGCGTTATCCAAAAAACAAACTGGAGCTCAACTTTATGCCTATTACCTCGTCAAAAAAAAACTACGTAATGCGAGTCAGCGGAAAATCTACTGAATCGCCCAATGCCGCAGTACGAACGACATTCTCTGCATTAGGCACAGACTCGAAGCTGAATTAACGGCAAAATCTTTCCAAAAGTTGAGATAAGTGCGTATCAGTAGACTTTCCAAAACAAACAAATACTCAACAAATACTATCCAATACTATAGAAAATGTCGCGAAAACAAAGCCAGCTCCACGGCGCATGTTTTACAATGCATACAACATCAGCAGTTTTTATCTGACCCTTTTCTTCTCTGCACTGCGTGTATTTTACGAATTGTTCAGCCTTATGTAGTCCGCACCGGACGAATTAGTGAATTGCGATGCCCTGAGAAAACGGACGACGCAAAACGCGTGCTCCAAATCAAAATTACAAATCGAAGACAGAGATGCCGTAGGTAATACGTTCAACTACGCAATTTCATGAAGAACGAATGAAAGGAGAAAAAGGAAAGACAGATTCTTCAAGGAATCCACAGAGGAAAAAAAACTAAAAAATGAAAACGAAAGCAGCGTCGTCCATCAACAATAACGTCCATGTCCAAGTTATTCTCCAACTATGCACAGTTTTCATGTACTGAGAACGGAAGCTACCTCAATTCAGTATCGCACTAAAGGTTGAGCGCATAACGAGCGACCCGGTCACCTTCATAGGACGGCGGAGAATAGTTGCACTGCAAACTGAAAATATTTTAACCAACCCATAAATCTGCCCAGCTGGCGTTTTGCGACGAGCATCCATTCATCGCCATGGTTTACATTCACTTCACAGCTCTTTCCTAAAAATATAGAACTTAAAGGACCTTTCCTAATATCAATGAAAGAAAACGTCGAAGCAATACTCTAAAACTTAATTCTTAGCGCTTTTAAAAATGATTAGTCACCTAACATTTTCTGTAATAGGTAGAAAGACCTTTGCAAAACCCCCACTCTTTCCCACATAAACATCCGGGCTCCAACGACGAAACAAGCACTTCTAGAAAATGATGTTCAAAAAATGCTTAGCCGCAACAAACAGCATTCTCTGGGGAACGCATAAATGGAAGAGTTTGCACTGTTTTTAAGGATGTAGTTCACCGATTGTCCACCATCAGACTGCATCATTAGAAGGCTTACGCATAGATGATACAGCCGTTGCCTTACTTTCCATTGACAAGTTTCGATATGGCTCCATCCAAACCCCTGTATGACATGAGGCGATCAACGCTCCTAGTTAACTCCTACGTTCTTAATGAGAAGAGAATTCCGAATTTGATGCAGAGGAATGTTTCCCAAAGAAACGAAATACAGTACAGGCAATCAGCTCCCACAGGAAGTTCATTGTGAAATAAAGAGCGAAAAAACAAAACTGCAAGTCGCAGCAACATGTTCCATTCGCGATGCTAGAATCGAAATATATGCATAAGGGGGGAGAAAGTGTTGACTACAAAGTTCTGTTCAGTTCCTACCACATGAATGATGGGATCGTGTCACATGGAAAACCATACAATCAGTATTTCATCATGCCACTAGTAGTAGAAAGGTACACCGCACACCCCATACTTTCCTCACAATTTTTCAAATGAACGGACAGATTTTCGGAGGATTAAGTGGCCATGCAAGATAGATAAGACAGATTAGAAGCCATTTAAATCTACAGATGTAATCCCTGGCACTTCGTCAACTTCTCCTAACGTTCGCTGTGGGACCTCTGCTCTGATGATGCGCAGTACCAATCGCATCTAAAAATATAGGGGACTCTCCGGCGCGTGTCCCGTGCGTCTCTCTTGGCCCATTGCCAAATGTGGTATATTCGCCTCGACTGGAGTAATTTCACTACTGTCTGCTGGGGGACGGTACGAACGTGCGTCCGAGGGTGCGCGCGGCGAATTGCGCGGCAAAGCTCGTGACGATTTGCACAACTGCGGTGCCTATTTTCGGGGCACAAACTCGAAGTAGTGTAGTTTAGTAGGGTCGGATGATCCTCCTAATCCATTCTATTTGAAATTTGGGCCCCAATGACAGGCGCCGAACTTGTTCAAACCATTACGAACTTCGCCGCGCAATTTGCCGCGCGCATCCTCGGACGCACGTTCGTACACATACCCGGGAGTTCATTCATGTCCCTAAGCGCTTCATTCTTATAGACTCCTTCAGCGTTCGAGTGCCCTCCTTGTATATGGGTAAGTTGTTCTATTTCCTTTCACCCCGACGCCATAAGAGCAGCCTCAAAGACAAACTTTAGAGAGAAGTAGGAGTACTCGTTTGATTAGATGAGAAGTTGAACGTCATGAATGTTCCAGAATAGCCTTACAGAGCTTGCAATGATAAATTTAAGAGAACAAGAGAGATCCCTCATCGATGGGCAATCAGCTACCATATGGATTTTGCAGTATAAATAAATTGCAAGATAAAATTAGGAGAGTGGAAATGATTGCCCCAAAAAGCTATCGTGGGGTTAGTGAGATACCATGGTGAGGCCCATGCGATGAAGTCATTGGATTCCGCAAAGTTCAAGCCAATGTGATGAAGAAAAGAAATTGCATTGTGGATCAAAGTTACGAGTCTAGTGCATATGGGGTGATGAGGAGGATAAACGGTCGAATGAGATTGGATTCAAGTGGATCTTCCCCTCAGCGCTCACTATTTTATCTCGTTTTTCAGAATTCCAATTGTTGAATAGACCAGTTACGTTGTTTCATTTCACCAATAACTTGCCTTCTGGGATCATAAGATCAGAACATTTTCCCGCCTTTTGGAGTCATGACATCAGTGCATGAGTTAAAGCGGTAGTAATCACAACAGTTGGGAGTGAGGGTATCGCTAGTTCTCTATGGTATGGGAGGGCAAGTGACCTTATTATTTTCGAAGTGAAGATAGAGGGTTTACGATACATCAGTTTGTAAACGCCACTACGACACTCGAAAACAGGAGAAGCAGAGTCAGGGGTCGTATCTGTTCCTATTGTGGTGGTTAAATCTACATTAAGTTAAAATCGAAAAACGCACTTTCACTCCTGAAAGAGCTTGTATAAGAATAAGCAGTTGTCAGCGGCATCTAACGTGCAAGAATGCAGGGAGTACAGGAAATACATCCAGATCATTGAATAGGAAGAGGGGTTAGCAGCGACTATTGAGTAGCTTAGGAACATGAATACACTCCTAACGAGTCAGACCATTGAGGAATAACAGTGCGATCATCATAGAATAGTGCTTCATATGTATTCCTGTAGCAATGGCATCTTTCATAGTCCACGACCAGTCGCGCGACCAGTCGCGCGACCGGTCGCTCGACCGGTTGCTAGCGACTGCCGACCGATCGCGCGATCGGTCGCACGACTGGCCGCTCGACTGATCGCGCCACTGATCGCTCGATCGGTCGAGGAGGCCGCGCTAGTCAGTACCTTTCTGTTGAGATCGACCTGATAAATTTGCAGTAGTCCACGGCTTCACCATGAATAGAGCAAATCTCTTTACTATGGCAAAAAAGCCCCTTCGAGATTGAGAATTCACTCCATAGGTCAACAATTTACTCGTAAAACGCTCAAAATAAGAAAATCTTTAAATTTTTTTATTCTAGTAAACAGTAAGCTCGCGCGCACAGCAGAGCGTGCCTATCGTCTATTTCTGTGGAGAAACTACCAATTAGAATTAATTTATCTGCAAATCGACCGGCATAGGTAATAAGTGAAACACGAGCAAATACAAGCGTTCAATGGAATGTAACAATACAAGGAATTAAGACTAAGAATTTATCAGACAGAACTACATGCAGAAGTAGAACATCCCAATGGGATATGATATTGGTGGCCAGGGCTTCGCCCCCATGGCGGATGCGAGATGGTAGAAGCCGCTCGCCGGTTGATTAACACGTCGACTCCCCGATGTCGTCCTCTTGCTCCGCGCTCCGCCCTGAAATTCCTTCATGAGTCATCTGAAAACATCAACAGGAAACTTTAATAGTTTTGGAAGTAACTGGGAACTTGCGCCGCTGTGACAACTGCGCTGATGGAGTCCGCCCAACGTAACAGGGTGTTCCATACCGGCACCTGTCGGAGGGTATCAGCTTGGCCTATGATAAACTGGCCGTGTCGGGAGCGAGTCACGGCGACGTTCAGGCGTCGGTAGTCGTTTATGAATTCGCCCTCTGGGTCCTGTGAAATTTTAGTTTTGGTGGTCAACAAAATTACCACATCCTTCTCGCGTCCCTGCACCGAGTCGACCGTCGTGAGTTCGAAGCCGAGATCGCCCATATCTTCCTTCACGAAGCGGTACTGTTCCCTGTAAAAAACGATGACGCATATGCTCTGTGCGGGAATTACTACTCCGATCAGTCTGTCTGTGAGGTGGCGACAGATGATGGCTTCGTCTTCGTTATACAGGGACTTACTAGGGGCTCGGACGGCGGTACCCATCGCGTCGATGAACATGAACGGAACATTGGGCGAGGGGAAGTGCATGCGGGTGAGGAGGAGGAGGCGTGCCTGCGCAATCGTGCCGCTTACTAGGGTCCCATCATACGCAATGACATTGGGGAGAGCGATGAGCGCGGGGTGCGACCTAAAGGTAGTAATTGACATGCGGGGCAAGCTGGTGGATGTCGCCGATATAAACGTGGCGCGCGTGAGATAATCGTCCGGCGATGGTCAGGAGGGCTGGCTCCGGTATTTGGGAAGCCTCATCACCTATTACAGTGATGAAGGAGGAGATGTAAGACTTGAAGATACCGGAACGGGATGTCGAATTAGGTAGGGAAGAGGTCGTCATACACAAAACCGAAGGGCGATTTACCGCAAATAAGATTTTAACCATACGTTTGAGTGTGCGGGATACGTACTGTTCCGCTACTTCATACTCATCCCTCTCATCGTCCGTCATGCCGGGGATTGCATCTGGGTTGCCAATATAATTCTCAACCAAGGAACGCTATCGTTTAAAACGACGACAGACTTCCAGATCCTCTTGGGACAGCTGGTGCCTAAACCTGTCTCCCAGGGTGAGGAGTACCTTACTGAGGTCCACGGGCGTTGGGGTGAGATTATCAGCCGCAGCCGTGTCTGAGATGTGGCGAACCACCTGAATATCGGGAAAGTCCTCCAATGACAATAGCGTTTCCGTAAACTGAGCTACCGCCGCGTTCGTCGATGTCGTGACGATTACGGTAGTCTTGGGAGTTCTAGCCGAAAGCGCTGCTATGAGAGATCCCACTAGTGTCTTGCCCGTGCCAAACGCGGCTTGGATTGCTACGAGCGGAATGCGACTTGCGCCTACTCGGATCGCGTCTCGCTGGTCGGGGGTCAACGTCAGAGTACGTTGATTGACTCTGAATGAGCGAACCTCCTGCGATGGGGGTGGAAGGGAGCGGAGGTATTCCTGATCGCTGGCGCCTGCCTCTTGATTGGAATAAAGGATGTTAATAACCTGGTCACCCATGGAGTATGGGTTAAGGCCTGCGAAGATATCCATACGTGACACCAGGTCATAAATAGGGTTGGCTGCTACGTTAGACCGGCTAAGGCGCATGCAGGCATCAAAGACGCGAGACCCATCAGAGTCGCGACCATTTTGCCGAATCGCTCTAAGAAAAGTGGTGTTGGCCCATGGGAACGCTTCAAGGGTAAGGTTGAGCAACTTACGGTCGGAGAAGTTGACCAGGGTGACCACCTTAGCCCAAACCAAACTGGGAGAACCAACCACCCAAAGAACGACGTGTCTACCGGGAGCCCATCCAGCTTCTGAGGCCATGTCGGCTAGACTGAATTGTATCCGTATTGGGTGCCAGAGGGGATAAACTAGCGTGACCTCTCGCAAATGAGTGCGACGATCGTCGCCCGCGGCGTTTATAGCCGCAAGCGCTGCGCACGCGGCGTTGGAAATACGACCGAGATTTCGCTTGGATCCCGCAGGGTCTCGATGGAAGTTATCGAAGCGCTGAAGTCGGTCAGCGCACCATTCGCGATCGCTTAGCGGCAACAGGAAGACTCGCGGGGAAGGATGCCTTCTTCCGGGTGCATCGAGAAGAACCGACGGACGGTGGCCGCCAGGTGGTCTCTTGCTTCTAACGATGCTGGAGGCTCACAGAACCGCATATCTGAGGAGACGTTTACGCGCGAATGTGCCCCCACGATGTCGAACTGGTGCAGACATTTGAGGTTAAAGTTGCAAAGCGCAGGGGTGACTGTGACTGCATCTGGCGAACCTTCAAACACTGCCCGAGCATGCGTAACGCGATTGTTCCGGGTCGTGAGGGAAAGTATTATGCCATAGACCGGGTCCGGGCGGTTGGTGATGGTCACGAATGCGTAGTGGGCAGCTCTGAAAAAGAGGGAAGCCGTTGTTTCGAGGGCCGTGGTGCGGGGTGTGGAAGCTTTCTTAAGGGTGTCCTCTGGGGATTCAAAAGCCTGCGGTGTCGGTTTGACGTCATATACCCAGACAAAGTCCTTGACTGAAACCAGGGACCTATTGAAACCACGACAGCCTGCTTCGATGTCAGTACCGAACCTGTCGAGGAGAATGCAGCGAAGGTCGCGTCTATTCGGACCCATGATGAAAAGGTCCTTCGCTTCCAGTACCAGGCCTGACCCATAACCTGTGGATACCACCTGATATAAAACCGGGTGGATGGAATTGAAGGTACGCGGCTTCGTGATGTACTGGTGGGGTCGGTTGAGGTCTGCGTGGACGAACGCAACGTCTACCTCCTGATAAGTACCTGCCATCATCTGGTCAATAACCTGCTGGGACTGCTCACGGAAGCGGACAGTGTCGTCTAAGTGCGGCAACTCAATAAAGGGTATTGATGTGGGCAACTTATTTTCCCTGAAAACTACCTGCGGAAATAGTGACTTAATGAAGCGCTTCGAGAGATATCCCGAGTCAGGCAGGTGGCGGTACAAGTTCACATCAAGACCGTGGTGACCGTAGGTGGATTCAGGTGAAGATGGTGAAGCGGGCGAGGATTTACGAACTGCGCCCACGGATGGTTGTTAATCCAAGGGTGAGTGAAACCTTCTGGGGTCTTCCTAGGCAACTGCGAGGTACTCACTTGAGGGAGGGATCCGGCAAGATTTACTAGCGCCGCGGGAGGTGCTGCAGGCCGTGCTGCGGGAGGTGCTCGTGGGGCTCCACGTCCTCTTGTGGCGGTTCCACGCGTAGGTGGCCGCGAGGTAGCGGGTCGAGCTCTCGACGAGCCGGATGTGGAGGGTCGCGAGGGAGGAGCTCCGCGCGCCGATCCAGGCGAGGATGAAGGCGCATCCGCTCGAACCGGTTGACGTCGGCTAGATCCGCTGCGACGTAGCTTAGATGGAGGGGCTGGTGAATGATAACCTTCCTCTTCTACCTCCATAGGGTGTGGGGGAGAAAGGTGAGCTACTGCCAGCTGTTCCAGAGAGGCTGTCATGTTCGCGAGCGATGACTTACGAGGCTGCTGGGGCTTGGCTTTTTGGGTCGGCCGCTCTACCGTGGAGGAGCTGGACTGGCTGCTCGGAGTAGGTGAACGACGCGAGCGCGATTCTAGCGGTACGGGAGCTCCCCATCGAACCTGTACGACTGGAGGCTCCGGGTTCTGAGACGATACCGTAACCTCGTTCCGAGAACTGTAACCTTGTGCCTCGGGCACCGGTACGGATGTATCCATGGCGGAAACCTTCGTCAGTCGACGTGCGACTCGACGACATCCTGTTGGTATCGTCCGCTACGCGGCTCAGCAATTAAAAAAAAGGTTGCCTTATCACGAAGTGAATATAGCACACCAGAAATAAAAAAGACGTAAGAAGAACGTACAGCGATCGAACTGAAGTCGGGTCTTTATAATTACCTAGAATATATACCGTAAACAGAATAACACAAGGAAAGTGAAAGTCGATTGCTACAGTAAAATCACATAAAAGGGAGTAGGATACGACGCGAGATATGTGTATATAGATGTAGCGTGCGACAAGGTA